AAATCAACAGTATCTTTATAACATATACAAGGTAGTAGAAATAGGTGAGGTGAAAGTCTAGCAAAAAAGCTTGATTTATTGGTAAAAAAAAAAAGACTTATTGTTTCATTCTCAAATTCTGACAACAGCAAACCGAATCCTTTGTTTGTATTTTTCAAGCACTTGTAATTTACTGATTACATTCTTTGAATTTATGCTTTGGTATGGTTCTTTATAAAACTGGAGCCTCAATGTTGCATAGGGGTAAAACACTTGTGGCGCTTAATTCAATTCTCTTGTTTTCTTTCGGAAAGTGATTGACTTTCAGTTAATAAATGCATTCAAATAAATAACTATGGTTACCCAGAAAATATTTTGATTGTTGATTGATGAATGAAAAAAAAAAAAAAAGAATTAGCAGCTAGTATTCAATTTGCAAGGCAACACACTTGCATTTGTACATTAAAAATTTAAATCACACATTGCACATTGAGAATTCCTTTTCTAAACTTTGATTAAATTGATTACCATAGTCTTGTAAATCGAGATGAATGTGAATTGAGATATTAAATGTCCATCACAAATATTAAAGAGTTAAGTGGTAATTTCATTGAAAATGTAAAAAATATGCAAAAATTGACTTTAGATGATTTTCCATGTCATTCTCAAAATGTAGAAAGACATGTTAAATTGGCTCCAGCCACAGCTCTATCAGGATGAGAAGAGACAGATACATTAGGGCAAATCTTTTATCTAGAAAGTATATTCCACACTTTGCTTCATATTATAAATTAGAATATGTAGGAATAATTGATCAATAAACTTTTTTTTTCAAGTTCTTTTAAAAGGTACAATAAAAAGTACATATAAAACAATATTTAAAAAATGTTGTATTTGTCATAAGAAATGATTGGGTAAATCATTCTAGTGCTAACATAATTGCATAAAATAACATAATTGTGCTAATGCATAAAATTTTGAGTTTTAAAACAATCTTAAAAACCAGAAAACAAAAAAATTATTTCATTTTTTGAACAGCAGAGATTTTTACATTGCATATATTGTAATATCAAAAATGGTTTATTATCAATTAGAAGGCGGCAAAAAAAGGAAAAACAATTGGAATTTTTTAATTTATTTTAATGATATTTAGATGTTAGAGCAACATTATGTTGCTTCTCAAAGTAATTTGAACAAAAAAAAAAAAAATACAATGATGATCTGCCTTAATGTACACGGAATTATGTTTATTTTTCTAAGAATCTAAGAGAATTTTTTTTCACTAAGAGGAACATCATTGAAAGAGTTGAAAAATAACAAAAAAAGGCGGCATGAATATCTACATTGTTAAATGCAGCATTAGCAGTCAGTTTTACTATACTCCATAATATAAGAGAACAGAAAAAAAATCTTGAAAATGTGATATTTTCTTTTAATGAAGAATGCAAAAATTTTCACTACTAAAGTTTTTTGATTCATTGACTAAAATTAACGACTAATTTTTGAAAAAAGCAATTATTTTTTAAGTTTAGCAAAGTTACATAAACTATTTGTTAACATTATATTAATAATTTATAACAAATTAATGCAAACTTCACTGAACTTTTTTTAATTAAGTAAAGAATTATCCTGTTTCTTTTTTTAATCATGTAACCTTACTTCTAGTTCTTAACACATTGCATGCGGGACACATACTAGTACATTTTCTCACAATTAATACTTGAGCATGGGACACATACTAATACTTTTTTTTTTTGCAAAAAGAGAGAAAGGAGACAGAATAGCTCTCAAAAAGGTGAACAAAACACAACAGAACCAGTCGGGGTTATCCAAGTAATACTTAAATCACCCAACATGAGGCACTGAGAAAGGGTAACTACCACAACATAGAAAAATTTGAACAAGTCTACACAGACGGTGACCGAACTCTAGCTGGTCATGAAGCAATAAACAAACTATTAAATGAGAAAAGACGAAAGAATGAAGAGCTTGTAAAGGCGAAATTGGATAAGGTGAACTAAATTCATACTTTTTATTATGCAAAGAAAATGAAATATAGTATTTTATTTTTTGTACAAAACATACTAAATTGTCATAAAATGTAGGTGCTAACGTATTATAATTTCCCTGATGTTTTTTTGATACAGAAGACCTGCAAGTGCGGGAAAATATAAGTTTTACTTAAATGAACACTAGTCTTTTTGACTTGTGTCAATAAAAGTGCTAGATATGTTGAGTGATTATTTTTTCAAGAAATATTTACCAACACACATATGATAGCAATTTAAGTAAAATAAGACGGCGGTCCGCTGTTTCATTTTTAAAAATATTAACATGATTCCTAGTAAGTCAATAAGTGTGTTTCGCCCTAGTAAATCAATTCCTAGTAAGTCAATAAGTGTGTTTCATTATGTGTGTAACCACACACATAACAAAAACGCAAATTTTTTAATGCTGCACAACAAGCACATTGTTTTTTTAATATCATGACTAAATATTATAAACAAGTTTAACTAGAGGCTTTATTTATACTTGATATCATGTAGCTTTGATTTTAATTGCCTTTTAAATTTATGATAATATAATTGGGTAACCCATGTAATGATAATTACTACCACATATCTATGAATATGGATATCTATAAATAAATATGTATAAATAGTATGTACAAATACTATGAATCTATTTATATGATTCCTTAAATTGGCGCAACTTCACATGATTTGCAAATTTTCTCAGCATTTGAATTAAACGAGCTTGTAGGCAATGGATTCATAAAGACATTCCTTAATTACACGTGCATTTATTTACTTTCTAGTTGCATTTGCAAATATTTTAACTGACGTAGGTTTAGGTGTTAACTTGTTTTCTTTTTTAATTTTGATGGAAGCAGTGAAATTACGAGCCTTCACTTCTGCAGAAAGAATTAAAAAGTTTAGAATGAAAAAGAAAAAAGAAGATCCACAATTTTAAGTTAGCGAAAATAAAATAATTGTAAAAGTTCATGCAGCAAAATTTGCTAAAATGATAAAGAAAGAGTTAACTGAACATAGGCGTAAAGTAGCTGCAAGGGTGGCGAAATGTAAAGCTAAGAAAAAGGAAACTATGAAATCTACAGTCACGTCAACTAGAGAACTTTTGGGTGAGTCATACACAACAACAATTTAAGTGGATTAGGCATTGTGTATAAAAATAATTGGTGGAATGATATTTTGTGTTCTTCTAGTGCATTAGATATGTCCAAGTCCTGTTGGAAAAACGAGTGTAAATTATGTAAAAACGGTATTAATGAGTACGTCAAACGTGACGACATTGCTGAATCCAAGAAGCAACTGTGCAAGATTCAGCCGCAGGGTACTGTTGGAGATCTTATTGGTGTCATTCAGGAGGGTTTTGAAAAAGTTGTAAAGCATGTGCGGATGAAAAGAATCCAAGCTAAAGAATTTTCTGAAGACAAAACAAAATGTACCTCCAGAATCCTGCAAATAGATTTTGTAATGTCATATTCATGCGAAAATCAATCTGAAATCCAGTCAGTTATTCATTAAAATATTAAATACAAAATTTGATTTCATACTTGTTACAAGTTTACAATTTGTAACCTTAATGTTACAAGAATATATATATAACAATTGCCATTTATTGCACTGTGAAAAAATTCTTTAGTAGAGCGTTGTCTTTAGATTTTCACACAAACTATCCATTTATTACTTATTTGATATTTGATATTTATTATTACTTATTTGATAATTATTATGATAAAAAATTATATGATAAAAAATTTGACAGAGAGCTATAAATGTTTTTTACTGCTTAAAATGTACTGTTTTATATTTTCATATTATAATAAAATGCAGGCATTTTAAGAATATTACAACAAAAATTCCACAATAAAAGTGAATAATATTTTAAAGCAATTAATATATAAAATATATAATTCATTACATAGAATAAAAATTATTATCTAATAATTTAGAGTGTAATATTTATCAGTTAGTCCAATCTAATCAAAAACATTTGCATTTCAATGGGCACTTTATTTTAATTTTTTTTTGTTGTAACAACTGTGATTCTTAAAAAGCATTGCAATTAATTATGCAAATAATTTTTATTTTTAATAAAAATGACTTTGGGTTTTTCATTTTAGTTATAATAATAATTATACTTTTAAAAAGTATAATTTTTTCTCTCAAAAGTATAATTATTATTGCTGTGAGAATATTACAATATTACGAGAGGAAGCAAAAGCTCTTGCTTTTCGCCAAGGCCTATATATATATAAATATATATATATATATATATATATATATATATATATATATATATATATATATATATATATATATATATATATATATATATATATATATATATATATATACAAATAGTATTGCGAACTATTGTAAGCAATCTGACGTCATACTGAAATAGCCTGCTGCTGGGGGCTTCAGTACATACATAGACTGACAAATAGCCTGACTCGCAGTGGAGTGCTGCTACATTGACTGAGGGTTTGGGATGGGAAAGCAATCGTTCATCCATCATTCATCGTTTTTTCTTCTTTTTCGAAAAAAACGGTATAGCTTAAGGTAAGCAGAAAAAGTGAGCAAATGTTTATTGAAACACGCTTTAGTAAGTGTATATACATATATATATATATATATATATATATATATATATATATATATATATATATATATATATATATATATATATATATGTGTGTGTGTGTGTGTGTGTGTGTGCGTATATATATATATATATATATATATATATTATATATGTGTGTGTGTGTGTGTATGCGTACATATATATATATATATATATATATATATATATATATATATATACATATCCTATACATCAACTAAGGGTTAATGTATAGAATTTATACATTAACCCTTATTTTTTTCAAATTAATAATATTTTTGGCATATTTATTAAAATAGAAATTTTTTTAAGGACCTGTTATAAAAAAAATACTTTTTTGCTTGTTTTTAAATAAAACATTAAATATAAACCTTTTTTTAAAATAGTTTTCTACATTCACTGTCACATGATATGAAACATGCACGGTAGCTATTGCTTCTGACTCACTATCTCTGCATAGTGGTTTGAATAATGAAGTGTCTTCAACAATGCACCTAAAGTATCAAAAAAATATATTAAATGTAATAATGTAAGTGTAAATAATGTAAAAATGTAAATAAATGTAACAAAACTAAAGTTTCAATATATATATATATATATATATATATATATATATATATATATATATATATATATATATATATATATATATATATATATATATATATATATATATATATATATATATATATATATATATATGTATATATATATATATATATATATTTGAAAGTTTCTTGAATATATAAATGAAGCTAGAAATTTATACAAATCTATAATCTACTTAAAAAATTTGATTGAAGTTTATGAACTTCTCAATTTTTTATCAAGAAAATTTCAAGTAGTATAAAATAAAAATGTCTTCTATATAAAGTTTTGAATATGACTAAAAACCTATTTATAAAAACCATATTAACATAATTTACTAATGAGCAATTCCATTACAAAACATAGTCAATGGTTGTGTAACCTCCCAAAAAAGATTTTTCACATATTGTTTGTATTTTCAAAAGCACCTCAAACAATAAAAAGAAAACAAGAAAAATGTAATGCTGTCCTAAAAGATTCAAAAAAACAAGAAGAAAGTAATGAGGCTGTCCCAAAAGATTTAAAACAAAAAAGTTTAAAGAAGACTGTTTTAAGTCTTATAAAAAAATATTACAAAAATTATTAGAGAGAAAATAAAATGCAAAATTAGGTAACTCTCTTTACTGTATTTTAATATGTTTGATAATTAGTGCAAACCAAGATAATGTATGTTAATATTTTTTTCAGTTTGAACATATTTGATATCATTTTATTAAACAAAATCATAATTATTAAATCCATTCTTACAGACTAAACAAAATAGCAACAAGCAACTTAGTACAAAGAAAATGGAACAACCAACATCCTTATTGCTATGCCAACTGATGGCACAGCAATAAGGGCCAACTCACATTATTAGCAGAGCAAGAAAGATGTTTTTGTGTGTAAGCAAATTCAGCCACGTTGTATTTTGAAAGTTTGTTGGACATAGACCACACTAATTAGAAGGTTTTTTTACTAAGGTCATTATCTTATTATATTTACATTATCTAAGGACATTACTTGTTATATTTATTGTTATATTATTGTACAAATGGATCTGTACGAATAAGTCAAGAAATTCTTTTTGAGTTATACTATCCTTTAAAGTTATTTTCTCATTATTTAATTATTGTTACACTAGGTAACCTAGGTAACACCTTTTTTTTTGTTTCAAGTGCTCTAATTCAAATGTGTGTCAAAAGTGAACAAAACAAGAAAAATATTTGGCCTTATAAAAGGTTGTTAAAGAGATTAATAAAAAAAAAAGATTCAAAAATATTTTTTAACTTTTTAATGTAATTTTTTAGATTTCTCAAAGAAGCTCTTAAATGTTTCAAGCTAAAAGTTGTCTACACTTTTTATACATTATTTTATTTAATTAGTAAAATAAATCTGCAAACAACATTGTGAAATCTAAAAAAAAAACAGTTCAACAATATTCTAGAAAATTACTCATTATATAAATATGATTTTTTTATTTTTATTTTTTTTTATTTCAATTCACCTCCTCAAGGCCGAGAAGGCCACTACAGACAAGGAGGCTACTTATTTGTGGCTATAACCCTCTCTCAACTCTATAACTCTGAAACACGAACCTTGACGAACAAGGCCGCTGCGCGGAGAAACGAGTTGAGCGCGGTACTACCAGGGACGTGGTGGGGATTGAACTCGGAACCACTCGTTTATGAAACGAGCGCTTTACCACTACACCACTACCGAATTAAAAAATAACTAAAAAAAAAAAAAAATTCAAAACATCATCCTAATTTTGATGATTTCATTTTTAACTGTTTTGAAATCACATCGCTCTACTTTTCCATAAAAAAAAATTAATAGTTACCATTTTGATGGTACATCAATATGTATTATATGTTTCTCTACATCCATATAAACGATTTTTTCATCATTCAAATTTATTAATGGTTTCACTTGAACCTATTTTAAAGTGAAAATTAGAAAAGATATAAACATAACTTCTATATTTTAAACAACAACAACAAAAAAATGTAAAACTATAATATCAAAATGAAGTTTAAATAACATTTAATTATTTAAACAGTGAGAAATCATTCAAACATTGCTGTTACGAAATCATACAAACATTGCTGTTACGAAATCATTAGAACATTGTTATTAAGAAATCAAACATTTTTGTTACAAAATCATTTAAATTATGTTGAGTGAAAAATATTTGAATAAATCAATATTTTTGTTTGTAAAGCAATTGTTATTTTATTTCAAAACTAATATTACAATATTTTTATTGTAAAAAAAAAAAAAAACTAAAAAAATATATTTGAAAGAAATTTAAATGAAAATGACTGAAAGAAACTGCTCACAAGATTACATTTCCCAAAAGCCATCATAACAGCAGTTCTAGAAGAAGCACTTGACACTGGTATACTAGACAAAGTAAGAATATGAAGGCAAAATGTATCAACTTGTTCTTTTGTTGCTTCAATTGATGCAGATTTAATTGCAATTAAGACAGCTTCTTTAACTGCACGCTAAAAAAATTTAAAGTTAAATTTAGTAAACAAAGAATTCAAAGACACTGCAAACAAACCATTAAAAATGGTTCTTTCAAAAAATCAAACCAATTAAATAGTTGTTAAACTTTAATGACTCAATCACAAATTTTACAAACTGACAAATACAATTTAGAGTAAAAATTTATTTGTCAGTTTGTAAAATTATAGATAAAATTATAAATTAAATTGTCAGAGTAAATAAGATTTTTTTATTAGAATTAGAAAAAATTTAACAATGATTTCATTATTCAGTTTGATTCTAATTTTATGCATTTTATTATCCCATGACAAATAGTTTCAGCAGTGACACCAGTTATAACATGATAAATAGTTTCAGCAATGACACCAGTTATAACATGAAAAATAGTTTCAGCAGTGACACCAGTTATAACATGACAAATAATTTCAGCAGTGATACCAGTTATAACATGACAAATAGTTTCAGCAGTGACACCAGTTATAACATGACAAATAATTTCAGCAGTGATACCAGTTATAAGATGACAAATAGTTTCAGCAGTGACACCAGTTATAACATGACAAATAGTTTCAGCAGTGATACCAGTTATAAGATGACAAATAGTTTCAGCAGTGACACCAGTTATAACATGACAAATAGTTTCAACAGTGAGACCAGTTATAAGATGACAAATAGTTTCAGCAGTGACACCAGTTATAACATGACAAATAGTTTCAGCAGTGACACCAGTTATAGTTATAGCAGTGACAACAATGTTTAATAATAATAATAATAATAATAATAATCAGAGTTTATCTTTTCTTAAATAATAATCTATAAAAATCTATGGGGTATATATAAGTCAATCTAGAATGTTTTCATAATCATCAAAGCAATAGAAAAAAGTTTTTTAAATACATTTAAAGAACCTCCATTGTAAAAATTACAACTTTAGTGCTAAAAATTGAAAGGTGAAAATCAATATTTTAAAAAAATATATAAGTTCTAATCTGAGATAAAAGTAAGGAGTAACCCACTATACTGAATATGGTATTGATAAATCAATAAAAGAATTGGGAACTGTTTCTGCTTAAGCTAAATATAGAAATAGATGCTATACAATATTTTAGGTTTAAATAAAATAAACTTTTTTTGTATCTTTTAAATTAATTTAAAATCTAATAACTGACATTTACAAAAAAACTCCTTGTAATGCCCTAACTTGGGTGTAAATCTTTTTTGCTTTTTTATATTTTATGTTAATTCACCAACCCAAGTTCAAGAAGACCACTATAAACAAAGAGGCTACTTTAATTGTATTTACAACCCTCTTTCAACTTTATAACTATGAAACATGAACCTAGACAAACAAGGCTGCTGAGTGGAAAATTAAGTTGAGCATGGTATTTCAGAGATGTGGTGGGGATCGAACTCAGAATTTTGGCTTATGATAGCAAGTGCTTTACCATAACACCATTACTGCAACAATCAGTTCTATAAAAAATTAAATCTGAAAATTTTATTCACCTAGTTTTCTTACTTGAACATCAGTTCTTTGGAATTTTTTTTCCTAATTCATATAATTTGCAGTCTTTAGAATTGTCTGTTAATTGTTACCTTGCTTTATAAACTTTTTTTCTTCTATAGTAACTTCCAACTCTAATAGTGGTTGCTTGCAGCCTTGTCAGAAGTGAAGATGTTTTATGCTTGTGTAGATAACGATACAGTTCATGCTTGTGTATATAAAGATACAGCTCATGCTTTTGTATATAAAGAAACAGTTAATGCTTGTGTAAAAAGTTCAAATAAGTCATCATGACTTCATTTATATAACCTGATGGTAGGGTTGGGGTCAGATATCTCTTCTGTGAAAGAAATAATTTAAAACATCGAAAACAAATCAGTTTCTGAAATTGATCAAAGTGGTGTTACCCAATTAATTTCTGTTGTTCTAACTAGTAAAAGACAAGGAAAAGATAAAAAAAAAACCCTTAAAATTATTGATAATATATGCAGTCTTTTCCGTTTGACGAGCACTTTCGCCCTCTTGCAGTTTTGCACTTGCCCACACGTCCGCCAATACTACAGCTAGAAATTTTTTAAGCGCTAGCCAAAAAATTTCAAGTGTTTTTTTAAATTACAATAAATCTTTTTTCTTAATCAAATTCTAATTAAAGAGGTACAAAAAAAAAAAACTTTTTAAATCGGACATGCTAGACAAATAGTTTCTGTCTGGCCAGCACTTTTTCATGCATTGGCTGTAAATTTGAAACAGAGGAGATATATGCTGGACAAAAAATTAGGCACGCATCTGTAATTATTACATAGTGAGCCAGGTGTTCATGATCATGTGATATCAGATGACCCACTAGAAAATTTTATTTTATTTCAAGTTAATAGTTGAAATTAAATAAAAATTTCTTAACTTGTAGATATAGCACATTTGAAAAAAACAATTTTCAACGTACAGAGCCTAATCATTAACTGAGCATAATATCAGCTATTGCACACAAAGATAATTTTAGAAGAAGTTGTATGATGTGTTATAAAAAACCAATCAAACCACAAAAAGTGTTGCTTTATTTTTGTGCTAAATGTGATGTTGTATTATGTGTTTTGCTTTGCCTTAAGAAGTATTACACTGCAATATGATATTAATTTTAAGCAGGTTATAAATTTAGCAATTTTTTAACAAATATTCAGCTTATTCATATATAATAAATTTAGTTAAGTTTTTTATGTAATTATTATTATTTTTGATTGTTTATCAATCACAGTAGCTAAACAATATTAATTAATAAACACTGATTGTTCAATGGGCAAGTAGTTTTTGTAATGCAGTTACAAGTTCTTGCATTCACATTTGTATCACTGTATAAAATCTTGTGGTTATGTGAACTAATTATAGACTTTACATTTTGTATACAGCTATAACTATCGATACACAAATGTCGATATTATGTCGATACACAAATTGTTATTGAGATCAAATATTATGTCGATATACGACATAACATTTGATCTCAATAACAATTCTTTTCAACCATACCCTAAATGCGACAATGAGCTGAATTATGTTCAATCTGATTCAAACTACCCACCTAATATTATCAAAAGACCCCCTTGCACTGTTAAATTGAGATTATCTGCCACGTCAGTAAATGAATCTGTTTTTTATAATGCTATCTCACCTTCCTTTTTATAATGCTATCTCAATTTCCTCTTTTGATACCAGAGACTAAATAGTTGCATCTTTTATTACATCAGAAGATGTTCTATCATAATTTCTAATTCATTTGTAAAAGATTTTGTTTTTAAATGGTTTTTTCTAATGTTTTTTTTAATGTATTTAATAGCTGATGATTGCTGTGTATGGCACAAAACTTTAAGTACTATTAATAATGTTGTTTTTTAATTTAAAAAAATGTAAATTTATATATATCAGGCTTGGTCGGGAAGCTGGAGCTATCGCTCTCGAATACTGACCACGGAAATTATATTTAGTTGTGTAAAACTGGCCAGGTTTTTTAGTCGTTTTGAGAACATTTAAGTTTATTTATGAAACAAAAAAATTTTGTTTTACGGACATACATGGAAACATTAAAAACTTGAATGTTCTCAAAACATCTTTGTGCGAAAGAATAAAAAGAATATTTGCGAACACTAAAAACCCGCCAAATTAACGAACAAACTAATTCTATTGATTTAAAAAATACGCTGATCAAGCGAAATAAAGTTCTAGAGTATTCTGTTAAAATGTTTTAGATATTGTATTATTCACGATTTGTTACATTTTGATTTCTAGAATTGTTTTAAGAATATATATTATTTGTTTACAAAAATAAATGTTTTAAATTTATATTAATTAAATTGTTAACATTTTAAAAGTTTATTATAAATTATAGATTTTATTAGTATATTCTTATTTTTTATTTTAAAAGAGATAGTATTCTTTATGTAAATGTAATTTTGTGTATTTGTTTTTTATCGTAATGTAAGCAATTTTTATGATTTAAATAAAGATTTACAAAAATAATTGCGTTTTCAATAAAGTTATAATCGTTAAAGTTAATAAAACTAATTATGTAACAAACATATAAGAAGTTTCTGGTTATTAAACACAAACAACGCATAAAAAGTAACTCGCGGATGAACAAGCATCGCGCCTGAGGTCACGACAGAACACAAATATCTATAGCAAATAATTAGATATAAAGAAAAGTTTCTAGATATTGGTTTACTAACTCTAATTATTTTCGCTTAAGTTGCCATTCTTAAAACTCGTTATACTTTTTTCTGCTTAAAATACTAATTAAAATTAAAAAGCCCACTCACTAAACATCATCAGCGATATTGTGAAGCAGTTTCGCTTCCTGCAGCCGTACTCTCATCTCTCCGTTAAGCTTAACGGAGCATTCATCAAAAATTTTATTACAATATCTTTATGTAAAGAAATGAAAAAAACTTTATTTAAATTTGTTTAAATAAAACTAATACTAAAATAAAACAATTTTATTTAAAATTTATATTTTTAAAGAATTTTTCAAATTAATGTAGTTAAATAGAACTTTTTGACAAACGCTCCGTTAAGCTTAACGGAGAGATGAGAATACGGCCACTGGTCATTAAGTATTTTTAACCTTTTTAGTTGATTTCCATCTTGTTAATTTAATTCCTGTAGTAATTAAATGATTTAATTATTTCATTTGTTTATCTTACTAAGAAGAATCGCTTCAAATATGTTAAACTTTTCAAACTACGCAAAACATAAAATAGGTATTAAAAAAATTAATTTTTTTTATTTTTAAAATAATTTAGCTTAAGTAAAACTAAAACTTGCAAACTTAGTTAAATAAAGAATATTTGTTTCTCTTTTAAACAATCGTAAGTTGTTACTTTATATAAAAAACATCGCTTAATTTTTTTTCTAATTGTCTCTCATCGGTCCAATTAATCTTTTTTTTTTGCTTTTTAAAATGTTCTCAAAATGACTAAAATCTGGCCAGCTTTTCGCAAC